ACTATTAACTCGGGAATCACGGAAAGATATTCATCCTTCAAGGTTTCGAATTCAGCTTTCATGCGTAGTTAACTGTTTTCCGATGTTTGAACTATTTCTGCCTAGACTAAAGTACAAAGCAGTGAAAATCATTAATAGGCAATCGTTCGATGGGCTAAATTGCACAAAACGCATGGTCGCACCGACTAGTCTGGTGCGCGTTGCTATTTATTTTTATTGTGGTAGTTTCTTTTCCGTGCTGCTTGACGTGGGAAATTTCTTCCCCGAGACATAGGCAGAACTGTTCGTTTTGTCCATCTCTTATCTGTGATCTTTGTCACGTAATCATTCAAATTTCCTGTTGAAACTGGTAAATTTTGCTAGCGTTCCGGCTCTGAAGCGTCATAACTCGGAAGCGTATGCTGAAAGCGACATTTTAAATTTACGGATGATTTTTTACAAAGTGCTGAACAATTTGATTTCGAAAATACGCTTTTTATGCTTTTTTGCTACAAAACAGTGGGCGAAACGCATATTGTTGAGAGATCGTCTGTGTGCGTGTGTTTGGAGGCAAGTGAACTTTGTCACCCAAATTCAGTAACCAGGCTGGGGACATAACCCCACCTCATGTGTCATCCTTCTTAAAACCTTAGCTCATACGCGCCTTGGTTTTGCGCAGGAACCCCTGGGAAAAATGAGTGAGTATTCACCGGAAAAACGACCAGACCTTATGCAAAAAATTGATAGTCGTGCACGCTAGAGATCCGCACGACCCCATAATGGAAAATTTTCATCTCAGTCGACGCTTTTTTATGCGTTTTGTGCTGTGTAACAGCAGTACAAGACGCATATTGTCACGGGGTTGTCTTTGTGTCCGCAGCAACTTGTCCGCAACTTTCAACTCGGGAACCACAAAAGCTAGGAAGCTGAAAATTCAGGGGAACGTTCCTCACCCACGTGTGACCCCGCAGATTTAAATTCAGCTTCCTCTTACCCGTGGGTAACGCGTATGGCCCCGTGAAAGTTTTTTACGAATAAGTTAATATCTCGGGAACCACGGAGTCTAGGAGGCTGAAGTTTTAGGGTAATGACCCCCTGCCCACGCTCAACCTTGCCCATTCAAATTTAGCGTTCTCGCGCTCTCGGGTACCACCTACGGCCTCGTGAAAATTTTGGCGGGTAAACTATTAACTCAGGAATCACAGAAAGATATTCATCCTTCAAGGTTCCGAATTCAGCTTTCATACGC